CGGAATTGTTAGAAATTTGATTTCTAGTATCCTTTGAATCAAAAATTGCAGGTTATTTTGAGAACTAAACGGTTCCAGAGTTGTACCTATATAATCGGTTATTTGGTACCAATTTTTTTAAACGACGAAAAAGAGTTTAATTCGATCTTTGTCACAATATTTCGGTAAGTATTATGAATAATTCAAGCGTTTCCGACACCCAGTCGTTTGAATTTTGCATCCTCAAACATTTTCAGTGTACCAAGATACCTATATCAATTATTTGGCAGCCGTCAAATTACTTTGTCAGAGAAAATAGGCAATCCGACATTTCGGGCCAAATAGGGAGGGTAACTTGATTGAATCTCTTCTCCTTAAAAACTTCAGTATAGATCCACTATTTTAAGGATTTAAAGACAAAGAAAATAGAAATTAAATTACCAGGTCCATTCTGCAAACACTAAAATACCTAGATGCTTACTAACCTCCGTTTTTTTTTTTCAACCAGATCCACTTTCTCCTAGCAAAGTTTTAAAAATTCCTGTAAAACATAAAACATTTAATAAAATGTCATAGTTGTTTGTTTACATTTTCGCCATGGCCATCGCGTAAAAACAACAATATTTTCTTTATTCAACATTAACAACAACGACAACAAAACAAGTATTTTCTCATATCCAATAAAAAAAGCGCAACGAATAAAAATACTGGTTCTAAACGATGTCCCAAATACCAGCTATCGTAAAATAAAGAGTAAATTAGATAAACGCTGTAAACAAAAAAAAAAAAACAATAATAAAATAGTGGCAACGAATGGAGGGACGTAGGAACGGGCGAGCAAGCTAACGGACGGACGGACGAACAAATGCGATCCATTTAATTAAGATTTGTTTCTTCTTTTGTTCTTGTTTTTTTTTTTTTTTTGTTTTTGTTGTTTTCAACAACATTTATCTTAACTGTACTCCTCCTCTTTCCACTAACATACATACAAGCGCGCCACACACACACGCACCGATGCTATGTTGCCCGAAAACACACATTCGCATGCACACCAAAAACAACAAACACATACACGCTACTCGCTGACTACTCTGTGCCCCGTTCCCATCACATAGCAATACACAATGAAACGAATAGAAAAAAGAAAACAAAATAAATAAAAAACACACAGTGCAAGTAGAGCGCGCCTCAAATAACCCCCCAACCGACAACAACGACAACGATGTCGACGATGAAGAAGAAGAGCAGCAAAATTGGAATTAAGGTATCAACAACGCCGTCAGATAGACAAACCACCAACCGGGCAAACGGAATGAATGCCTGACTGACTGACTGACGAACAAACACAAACATATCATCATCGTCATCATACCCACCAACCATGATGTTGAATAATTTACAATGTATTATAGCGATTACTTCCTTAATTATGTTTAATTAAATACAACTCAATTATATAAAATAAAAAAACAGGCAACGGTATAGTGAACGAAGAAGAAGCAAAGATTTCAAAGCCGATACCGAAAGTGAAGAATCGTAAGCCGCCGATAAATACGCCCATCCGTATATTCTGTGTGTTTCAAAACATAAAAAATTGTGCTAGTTAGTACTAAACTTTTTTGATGTCATAAAGGAAAAATCGGTAATCGTAGAAAAATTTTTAGATTTTTTGAAATATTGGAACAGAGCTACTTTGTGAAATTTGTAAAGTGGAGGTAGGTAGTCTGAACTTCACTAATTCATAATAGCATCCTTTGTCAGACCGTTTGCAACTGTCCTAAATCTTCATGTTAGAGTACACATAGGTATTCTGTTCTACGTAAAATTTTAAGATGATTTACAAATGCTGAAAATGTGTCTGATGGTTTTAAGGATTTGAAAATGGACCGACTATTGGTATAAAACCCATCTAACGGTACGTTCGATATTGATTATTGATTCAAGTTTCTCCAAACCCAATTCCACTCTAGGTTTCTGATGACCATTATCTCTTCTTAGAACAATTATCAGCTTATGTCAAGTTTTTTGTATAGTTTCCGTTTAAGGTGCTTCCCATTTTTGTATAATTTGAAGTGTTTGACGACAATTGGTTACAGATTTGCAAATAATTTGTTTTCTGATATTCATAAAAAGGCCGGCAAAAAAAACTATTAATATAGCCAAGTTTTGAGTATTTAAAGGGGACGTTACCCTTTTGCAAAAAAAAAATCTTGAGAATTTTCTTAAGATCTGTGTAAGTTCCTCGAAAAACTCAAGCTTTCGAAATAGTGCGCTTTGCTTGAAGAAAGTAAAGCTTTGTCATGTTCCATTGATGAAATGAACTACAAAAAAGGATATGAATAACAAAAAACATCAATCATGGAACGCCAACAATTGATAACTAATGAAAATTGGAAAATATGCCTCTTCCTAGGTACATATTGCAATCATTATAATTCATAAGGTTTCGTTTACAAAAGGTTTAAATAAATAAACAAATCCTCGAAGATACCTTAAATCGTATAAATCCGTTATATACTAGAATCAATGGTCTCCAGTGTAGCTGCGCCTCCTGTAACATAACTCATATACCAGAACGTGGACATACTTTAAATACATTTGTCCATATTTTATTCAGTTTTTAGGCTACAAAGGTTTACATAGACGGCGGACATTGCTAAATCGATCATCAACACTCGGCAAAATATTTAAAACTAATACGTAGGTGTACAGTCATTGCTTCTGTTGTGTTGCATTTTTGCAATGATGTATAGAGTAGTTGATTTTATGAATCTGAGGAATATTATGGGCTTTCCGTATAACGTGGTGGTAGTTACAACGTACATGTTGCGCCAAAAGCAGAGGAAGAGTTTAGCCCTAGTCTCGAGTGATCCATACATGGAATGTGTAACAGTCAAGTGCAAAGTTGCAGTCGTTGTGCCTCGCTGATCGACAGACATCGACTGTATAATTTGACCATTTTTGACACTCTTTTGAAGGCAACAACTGTCCGTGACATTGCCCCTTTGTAGTAATCGATCCTTAAACGCAGACCACCCCAACCCAATACGGTAACCAAAAGTCCCTTTTCTGCAGATCTACGGATTTCATATACTAGGAACGCTCCATTTTCTTTCAAGTTGGCCTTAATTCAAATGTTTGGGTATCAGAGAAATTTTTAGAGACATCTTCATATAATATTGGTAAAACAACTGGATGGACCGCTATTCCGCAAGGCAATCATAGCGTTCTCGAAGCCTAGCAAATGGGCATGGTTGCTCCACTACTAGGGACGGTTTGCTGTTTACTCCTTTGTCCTTTGGACGACATTATATTTTTTTCTTGGGGAAGTCCACATTTCCTGTGTTTTAATTAGCCGCTTTTGTATTGGTGCTTGAAATTTTCTTTTCTGGGTCCAACACCGGCTACGCCACCTAAGGCTTTCTTAGATTGATATTTTAAGACTATCACTTTTGAACTGATCCCAACTCTGGTTATAAAATAACTCTGATTATAAAACAAAGATTTAGTGAGTAGCTGGGAATTTAAGACTTTCACCTATGGACAGTTGTTAACAGAATGATTGTTAGCGTTAAATACCATAACGAGGCATATTATATATAGTATATTTAATACCATTTTTGTACGAATCTGCACATTCTTATCCTTATATCCTTAATAATATAGAACAAGGAAAAATACCCCCTACTGAATACCTATCCAACAAGTGGTTACAAGATGAAACTATCAACACATACCATCGCACAATAAAAATCAATTTTTAAAAAGCGCCTGAAAATGGATCCGACTTTCTTTGTTAAGCCGAAAATGTGGACCTAGCTGCGATTTTTACCATTATTTACGATAGATCTTTTATTCTGGTGTTGTAACAACAAGAAAGTTATTCCGTAGATTCATAATTAATATTCCAGTGATTAGGATTAATTTACACTTGAACCTTTAGGTGGATTCGTTTTTGTGTTAATGATTTTTCTTGATCTAGGATGTGTACCAAGTAGACTTAAATATGTGAAAGCGTAAACGCTTTTTTGGTCCAAAACAACGGTTGAGTTATATAAAAAAATCGGGCGGATAGGGTAAGTGTACCAGTAGTCGGCACTTTTAGGATTTTCGCGTTTTTAATCGCTCACCATACTGAGTGGAACTTTTCAATTATTACAAAGTTAATTTATTCAGATTCGAAATTTTGTATAGTTTTTGTAATAATAAATAAAGTTTTAATAACATTTTATTAAATTTCATAAATTTGTAGTTTTATTAAAACAATGCTTTTTTGCCAGTAGTCGGCACCACTTTCTAATTGTCGGTATGGTATATTCCAACAATCGGCATACTTTTTTTTTTGTAAGAATAATTAATAATAATAATAAATTTATTCATTAAAATATAATATTTTTGTTTAGTTAAACTGATTCGACGTCTTTATTGTACTTTTCTTAAGAATATGGATTGTTGAGGACCTTCACAGACAAAAATTTAATTTTTATTTGAATAATGTATCTTTTCTTAGTAAAATTGTGCACAAAGATAGCCGACAATATATTTGAAGAAAACAAAATACATTTAGTTATAATAGTTTCATTTATTTGGGCTTAAAAAACAAAGTGCCGACTACTGGGACATGCCGAACTTAGGCACACTTACCCTACATCCATTTCTATAACCAAAGATAAAGTCATTTCTATAAAAAAGTCATATAATATAAACACATCATCGCTCGTTGGATAGATATTTTCATTACTCCAGTTTCATTCGTTTTTCATTATTTTGAATAAATATTTCCCCAATGAAGAACGAAGAAAGCCGCATCTTAAATAACGCCGGCCTTAAAAAAGAAACATTTGACTTTGTTGTCTTCCAAAGGTTTTGAGCGAGCCAACGAATGGAACAATGAACGAATATGGTAAAAATACAAACCAAAAAAACACGAAACGAAAAAATTTAATGAAAATGAATGGTTGTTAGCGTTTTTTCTGTTTCTGTTGTTTTTTCATTATGCCATTCGTATAAGTTTTAATTACCAGTATTTTAAAATCCAATTGTTTTGCTTTTGTTGTTGCTGCTACATCGGCGGCAGACGCCGTAGCCGCAGTATTTGTTGTATCCATTTTGTGTGTGTGTCGGTCGGATTGATTTGTTTGATTTCTTTTATGAATTTGAGAATTTCTTTCTTTACTTTATTTTACTTCTTACATTCTTCTCGTTTTTTTTTGTAATGTTTTGTTGTTGCTGTTACTATTTATTGCATGAATTTGGTAGTGTTGTGTGTGCAATGCTCTTTGTTATTTATTATTTGCTTCTTTACTACTATATATTAATTTTAGCATTTGTAGTTGTTTTAATTTATAGCTTTTCTTTTTTGTTTTCTTTATTTAGCACTATGCTGTTTATTCCTTTTTGTTTTTTAATGCCCACATCACCACACATTTTCTTATTTATTTGTTCGTTTATGGAGAGTAGAAGAACACACAAATAAACTCGCATCTTTTTTATTCTTCTTTTGCTTTTTTATTGTTGGTGTTGTTGTTATAAGCACACACCAGCGCACATGCACTCACACTCGCCGTATTTGTAGCGTACCATCACTTCACATTCTATCACTGTATCTCACTTGCTCTCTCACACACATAGCAAATTGTTGTCATCGTCGCCGTTGTGCAGAGCTCGCTCTGCTACTTTTTTTGTATTCTTATTTCGTATTTCTTTTTTTTTTGTTTTTTATTTTCTTGCTTTCCACTACTATTTTTTCATTCGTACTGCTATGTGATGTCGTTGTCGACGATGGGGTACGTTAACCGCCGATTGCGCGCTATTCTTTCTCTTTCACATTCGTTTTGTACAAGTAAATGTGTGTCTGTGAATATCTCTTCTTCTTCTTTCTCTTATTAGTAGCTCGTCGTCGTTGTCGACGATTTAATATACTATTTTTCTTATTATTGACTTTTCTTATGAATTATGTGTTTTTCTTATACTTTTATCTTGGATTTCCTTTTACACGCGTTATCCTCTCTTCTCGGGTAGTAGATTCTCTTGTTTCCTTTCGCAATTTTCACATTTCTAAATTAAAAATATTTCCAATTTAATTCCAGTCGTCGTTTTTAGATGTACACACATTTTTTGGGCAACATGCAATGAATTTTTCACTTTTTGCTGTTGATTTTTGATTTCTTTATAGAACACCACATTTACACAATAGTAGCAGCAGCTATTTTCACGTTTCTTTTTTGTTTTATTTTCTTTTTTCTGGTTACAAATATACCACCACCACTACGACTATCTCTTTGGTATTTTGTGAATTATTTTTTGTATTTCAGGGGGCTTCTCAAACTATTAACAATTTTTTTTCTTTCTACATCATCATCATCTACACTACCACCACACCACACAATTCACTACTGACTGCTGCTGCACTACTGCCACACATGATTTGTGTGTGTGCGGTTGGATGTGTGTTTCGAGTTGCATAAATTGTGTTGGGGCCCAAAGCTTTTTGTTGCTATTTTTCACTTGTTTTTGACATAAAATATATGAATTTCTGCTCGATATTTTCTTTTAATTCTTCTTGCCACCTTTGCTTGCATCGCTATTGTGCGCTGTGGCACTATTTTTTAAAAAAGACCAGAGCGAAAACGGCCATTCGTCGATTGGATTTCTTCGTGTTTTTTTGCAGAACCGTCGCGTTGTAGCAATGATTTGGCTATTTCGCAGCGATTTTCTTGTAATACACATGCATTTTTATGTGTTCCGCACACTCTCGGTTATATATTTCATTGAAATATATTTATTTAAATTGTATTTATTAAAATAACTATGATTTATCGAGAAATTTACGCGCTTTTAATGATTGCACACACGAATTCAATTCTCCTTTACTATTCTTCTTCGTCGTTCGTTTTTTAGGGATACCGAAGTCGACTTTGAGACAACCGATTAATCGCCTCTTTCTATAAACTAAAATGTCGTTAAAGAAAATCTAGCTATCGATTTTTACGTTGTTTTTGGATGATGAAAATTATTACTGTACATTTGCAAAATTTGCTGGGTTCCTATAAAAACTAATGTACACCAGAGTGTAATGCCATGTTTACGTTAGAAGTTTTTGTAGGGTTAACCTACTTTGAGAGGATTTATTTGAAGTATAAGTAATGGATATGACAATTTTAATCCAAATCCAGTCGGTTAACCCATTTATATATAAACGTACTGTAAAGGAAACTAATTATAAGAAGAATTAATACATTTAAAAAGAACCACAATCCCTTTATAATATCGGAAAAAATTGCAAAACTAGTAGATTCTTGCAGGTTCTGGAACAGATCATAAAGAAGCTATTAAAACTTGCAGGCAAAATAAAGAAAACAAATACTAACATGAGATCCCTTTTACTGCTACTTAGTAGACAAACTTGGCTGAGTAAAAATCACTTTTCTTTCCGTTTTGTTCTCCCGCCCTGTTACCGGATTGGAAAAAATTGTACATTAATATAATTTAACGTCAAAATTATAGCAATACTTTTTTATCATCTCAAAAAATATGGTTTTTATGGTAAAACCATGGTACAATAAGGAGGTAGAACAGCTTTGTAAAACTACCAAAATGCAGCTCTGAGGCTATGCCCGCTGGCTGTAAGTATAATTCAAAATTATATGCAACAAGTTTTTTTTCATTTATTTTGTATTTTCCCTCAATTTTAGAATGAGTTAAAAAGCGCGAAAAATGAATGAAATTACAATATTTTTTCAAAGATATGGTACAATGAAATCAAGGTAGGGCACTTATACTAATCGATTTTACATTTTTTTATTTGCCTGGCCTAAACATGCCAAATTAATTTGTGCATGTGGATATGAAAATTATTGAGAAAATATTCAAATTCAGTTGTAATCATGGCACAATTACGGAAAGTAGAACAAATCTACCCTTTAAATACAATTTATTTTGGTGCCCCTAGTCAAGTTGTGTATTGCTTTGACTTAAAAAGAAGATAATTTTAAATTTAGATGCAACAAAAATGCATATTTCCCACGTTATCGGACAACAAAATGTATTATTTTGGGATGAAACAACATTGTCTCTCTATCTTGGATTCAATTTTGTGGAGAAAATCCAATATTTCATTTATATTTTTCTCCAATATAGTAATTTTGTAAAAAAAGAAAAATAAACAAAACAATTTGTTGCATGTTTAGAAATATATTTGACACTATAAGACTCCGGAACAGAGCTGCATTTTCCTTGTTTCTTCGAAGTTGAGCTTTGTGTTGTGATTGTGTCATGGTTGTAATGAAAATGCGGATTTCAACGTATGTATGGACAAAAATTAAGCTTTTTGTAGCGAACTAAATCTTTAGAAAAATATAGAACATAATTCTGAAGAGAAACGTAGAACTTTCATTCTTTTCTATCTTTTCATTGTACAATGAATTTCTGCAGGTTCTGGAACAAAAACAACCAAAACGTTTTTACTACCATGGTACAATGATATCAAGGTAGGGCTATGATACCATATGATTTTAATTTTTTTATTTTCTTGGCCTAATATGTCATCTTTTTTCTTTATGTATGTGTTTTCTTTTCAATAAACAAAAAGTTGTTCAGAAAACATTCAAATTCAGGTGTTTTCAAAATGTTCATTTCAACGCATGCATCGACAAAATCTAGAGTTTTTGTAGCGAAATAATCCTTTAGAGATATATAGTACATGATTTTGAAAAGAAGTGTTGACCTTTCATTCAGTTATCGCGGTTTTCAATTATTTATTCAAAATAAATGCAACAAGTTGTTTGATTTTTTTATTGTTTTGATACTAATTCTGACATTACAAGCCAAACAGGTAGACCTCTATACTTGCAATTTTTTCAAAGTTGACCTACCTTCTCTTCATTGTACCATGTTTACTACGATAATCGAATTTTTCTATGTGGTATTGAAGGAAGTAACCCTAATTAGCAGGTTCTGGAACACAATCACTGAAAATTCTTCAATGTGGACACGGGTTATTAAAACGAGCTATACAAGCCCTCGATAGTCGATAAAAAATTATTATCAATCTCGACTATAGATTCCTAAAAAATTGCTGTAACGGCGTTCACAATTTATAATTCAAGACTCTGACACATCACTACAACAGAAGATTGGAAGGAATGATCGCACATTGTGATAGAATTCAATTCGCTTTTTAGAAAAAAAAAATAAGGAGTATTCAAATGTATTATTTATATAAAAAATGTCTCCCGTCTATACAGATGTTTTTAAGACCTTTGGTCTATAGAATAACAAATCTGCAAAATACCTCTTTACTATTTTTCATGTACAGAGATCCTTTCAAATATTTTTTTATCTCCAGAAATACATCTCAATTACAGATTTGCAGAAGCTGATTGAATATTTTGAAATGGTCATAAATCCTTAAATATTGACTTTTCAGTTTTTTAAACTATATTTTGTGATCAGTGTTTTAAAGTTTAATTGTTGAATACTTTAAAATGACAACAGTCCTAATTCAATGGTAAAAATACTTATTTTTGCTTCCACAGCGTCTGCTTATAGAAGAAATATTAGATGTTCTATACCTACAATACTATGCATGGATATGAATGTCTTCTATTTATAAAGTGCCTTTTGTAGGCCATCTTACCCTAGACCAAGGTCTTAAAGAACTTCTACCTTTAAAATCCCAATTAAAGGTATTCTATATAAAATAACTTTTTATAACATATTTATGCCCGGAAAAATTGTCCACCTGTTAGGCAGTTAAAAAATCTATATTTCCAGAGCCATGCTCATACAAGGTTAGTTGTTGTAAAGCTCTATTTAAAGTACAGGATGCTTGATTTGTAACAACAATCGAGGAAATATTGTTTCTACTGTAAAACCTCTGAGTATACTTTTCTTTTTAAATTAAATCCTTTTCCGGATTCTACATTTTGTGGCAATGATAAATTTTCAACAAAATATATCAGCAATCTCAAATTACTAACTCCGTCTCAGACAATTTATTTCCCCCAAAAGAAAATCTCTTAAAATAATGTAGAAGTCCTACTAATATCACAGGATACCTGAGGAATGTGGAACGCTTTTGTTCCGATTTATAACATCAAGCGAGGATTTGTTGATTCCACAGTAAATCCTATGAGATCCTGACTAAGCAAGAGACCTTTTTTGTTTAAAGTAAACCTTTTCTGGGAACTTTCGAATTATCTCAAAATTCTAAATCCATTCCATAACATTTTACAGAAATTTTATTTCCTTTAAAGAAAATCTCTTAAAATTAAAATCCCATATAGAAAAATTACAAAATTATAATTTACTTTTCCGACATTTACAATTTAGGGTTTTTGGGCAGCTTGTTTTTCCTTCTTGGCAGCCTCGGCCTCAGCTTCTAATTTGTTGTATTTCTCAATTAGCTTTTCAACATCAGGTTTAGTGAGAATTTTAATTTCTGTCTTGTCGTTTACCCTCTGAAGCGTGGCCATTTCAATTTTCTCTGAAGTCAATTTGGTGGTATCCAAAGTTTTACTCAAAACCTTAACGGCCAAATCTTTAGCCTGATCCAAAGTGATTTTTTCATTTTCGCTCAGTTCCTGCTTCAGTTGTGAAATGGCTGCACCGAAATTATTACCAATACATGTGGCCTTCCAGCCACCATAGTTACCACTGGGATCCGATTGATACAACTGATAACCATAGTGTTTATCCCAACCCATATAAAGAATGGATACACCGAATGGTCGTTTGCCACCGTACTGGGTATAGGCCTGTTTGATGTCACATAAATAAGATACCAATTGTTCACAGGGCATGGATTCGCCGTAACTGAATTGATAACGTTGAGCAATGATGCGCAATTCATTGGTCAAGACATTGGCATCCGATGTAATACCAGCTACGGAACATACCATGTTATCGTTTAGCTTATAGATTTTCTCAGCAAAGATACTGGGATCCAGTAGTTTGTTGGTGTTACGACATTCGGCGGCCAAGAGGATACCATCCTCAGCCAAAATACCCAAACAGGTGCCGGCATGTGAAATAGCCTCCATAGCATATTCTACTTGGTACAAACGGCCCTCGGGCGAGAAGATGGTGGTACGGGAATCATAACGACGTGCCTTGATAAGAGGAAAACAAAAATTAATGTCAATATTTTTTTTAGCAAATCATCATTGGCAACAAATTTGCAAAACAAAAAAACATAGCAAATATGCCATACTTTTTATAACAAAAACACATCTGGTGCAGTAAATAGCTCCAATACTTACCATATTTGTTTATTTTAATTCTTTGAAGGCTATTTCAGTAAATTAATGCAGCTTATTAAAAAATCGGCAAAAACAGTTTGGACTGACTTTTGCTGAAAATTACTTGTCATTGCACGGATTGTTTGTGTAGGGTTGTATAATTTAGTACTTCTTTACGCCGCCTTTTTTAAATAACCAAACAATCATATGTTTGGTGTAATATCGGCCACATAAACGATATAAAGTTATACAATGTTCTCACATGAACGGTTTTAGAAATATCAGGTTGTCAAACAAGCAAAAATGCAACAAGTCAAGTTATTCTGTTTGGCGCCCTATTTTGTCTAATCATACACACAGTTTTTATAAATCTGTTCATTGCTTTCAATAATATAGAAAACAGTTATTTCTGAAGAAAGGTTGACATATCAAAGTTCACAAGTGATGATAGGCCTACCTGTATTCTTGCACCATGGTTGCAACAAAAATTTGATGGCAATATTATACAAGGTAATCTCATACTAAGAGCGCGTTTAGATACAACATTGGCACGACCGTTTTAATTCTTAATCCGGTGTGGAATCTACATACCATGGTAGAGCATCAACACTTGGGAACATTGATATGTATGTCAAAAAAATTTAAATGTGTTTTCAAATATATGTAGATTTTTATATGTTATCTTATACGACGTCATTCGGAAGTTATTATAATACGCTTTTTCAACAATTTTTGACCATGCCATGGCGGAAGAATACAGCTAGTCGCATCAATGGAAAAATAATTCAAATCATTCAATTTTTTAAAAATTGTAGAAAAATGCATGTCATAACAATCTCCGATTGGTGTCGTATATAAAAACTTAAAAAAATTACTTATTTTTAAAAATTGTGACGTATCAATATTCCCAAACGTTGTTGCATCTACCTGTATTTTCTTATTGTTCAGACAAAAATTAGATTTTTTGGCGTTTTAAAGACTGCAGATCGGTTTTAGAGGCAAAAACCGAAGAAAAAATTACCTAGTGCAGAATTATTTTTCCTTACAAGAAAAAATGTTGGCCAACTTTCCACGCATACAGGGTGACATAAAAAACTGCAACCAACTTCAGACTGCTGTCATTTCTAAGCCACTCGTCCGACAGCTGTTAAAATTATTCCAGTGACAGCTCCTTGTATTGTTTACAAACGTACAAAAGTATTTTGGTGAGTAATTTCCAGAAAAAAGTTATTCGTGATGGAATTCAAGCGTGATAGTGTAAGGGTGCAAGTACATAAAAAGCTTGAAGTCGTGGCTAGGCATCTAATGTCAAATTATAATGGAAAACGACGGCAGGATTTTAGTGCGGCTCTGTAGTCTCTTTGTGAAATGTCACAAAATATGCCTAGCCATGACTTCAAGCTTCTTATGTACTTAGCACTTAATTTCTTTATATTTGGTAGGAAAACCACAAGTGGCTATCGTTAGAGCACTCCAGCATTTAAATGTGAATAAATCTTTTGTGTCTCGTACCATCGCTCGTTACCGCGATAGTGGACGGAAGAAAACAGCAACATCAGCAGAAATGGTTCGAAAAGTAAAGAAACGACTTGATCGAAACCCGCGTCGCAGTGGCCAATAAATGGCTAGTGAGCTGAACATATCGCAATATTCCATTCGGCAAATATTAAAAAATGAACTCGGGGTAAAGCCATTGAATTCAAAAAAGTGCAAGAACTTACACCGCAGCAGAAAGAAAATAGACTCAAAAGAGCTAAAGAGTTGCTTCGCTTGGCCGAAAGTGGTGAACTGCCGAATTTGGTTTTCTCCGATGAGAAAATGAGTCCACCAGTTTTAAAACAAACAAAATTATCGTTTTTACTTGCCAATAAGGTCAGCTATGGTGATGGTGTGGGCTGCCATAACAGCCGATGGTCGCCGAATATGCAGAATATTTTCGCGAAAATATTCTGTAGGGTGTATTAAAGCCTTGGGCACGCAAACATTTTGGGCGCAGACCTTGGACATTCCAACAGAACTCAGCACCATCGCACTCAGCACGAGCCACCCAAGAATGGTTACAAAATGAGGTTCCTCACTTCATTTCCAGTGCACAATGGCCACCAAAATCTCCGGATACCATTACGTTGGACTATTGTGTCTGGAGTATGTTGGAAAGCAAGGTTGGCACTAAAAAATACCAAAGTGTCGATCACCTCAAACAAGCGCATTGCCAGAAATGAACCAAAATACCGTAGAGCAATATTTGGACAGCGTGTGGTGGTTTCATTGGCCGTTTAAAGGTGACCAATTTGAACAAATCTAAACTTATTCAGTTTTTTTTTTATCTCACCCTAAAGTCATTTCAAAAAAGACTATCCATCTCTGAATTTTCTGTTATTTACCTTGCCAAATTTCATTGAATAAAAAACAGGTTCCCATCTCTGATTTTGATCATGAGTTTATGATAATATAAAATTTAATTGACGTTTAATAAAAGGATTCTTGACGCTTTTTATTGAAACTGGTTCGGTATTAATATGAATACTACCGTGAATATAGCCGTGTAAACAATCTATAAATAGGCGATATTACACATGCATACCTCAGTTGAGGAAAGTGGCATCACTGAGATCAAATGTAAACAACAACTGACATTTGACAATTGGGTTTGATGTTTTGTTTTTAAATTTTCAGCGCACCGCGCCACCCAATTTTGCACTTTTTCAAACAAAGTTAATATATTTATATAAAAATGGGTGATATTATAAATGTAAACACAATAAATAAAGAAAATACAACTTTATATTTAAATAACCGAGTTAATATTCTGTGTTTTTTAGAATATGGAAGTTTTTAAAAAGCTGGACTTTGACTCTTCCAATCAGTGGATATTCTACGATGAACGTTTCCACAAATTCTTTGATTTCTTTGCAAATAATATTACGGATTCAAATATTCTATTGGAGACTGAGATTTTGGATCACGAAGAATATGTGAAGCGCAATGAGTATTTGGGAGCGGTGGAAAGGAAGCCACGTTTGGATGATTTGGAAAAGGAATATATGGGATTGTTTTCGCACACCAAGGATGAGGTGGATAATTTGCAACAGGACTATGACATTATGGAAATGGCATTCAACGATTACAATACTATGGTGGAGGATATGAGGTAGGGAGAGCTTTAAAATAATGTATTTTTGAAATAAATTCATTAATATCCTTTTTTTAGAGAAACAAAACATCTTTTAAATTGTGAATTTAGCCGCTTGGAAGAGCGTTTTAATACGTTGAAAAACAAAGAAAAAGACTTATTGTCACAATGCCAGGCAAAGGCCAAACAACTGGAAGACATGGAAATGGAAAATCATAAGAAATGTGAAGAGGTCTTGAAGACATTTTCAAAAATGGTAAATAATTCGAAGTTTTTGCAATGTTCTGATTACTAACTTCAAACTGTTCAACACGTCTAGCAATCCCCACCTTTGTTCATGCACCAGCTGCCTTTGGATCAATACTTTTTGAAGTGTGAATCATTTACCCAATACTTTTCCCTTTACATTAAGGAAAATTTCAAAATCCAAGAATTTATCGAACTCGAAACAAGTCTAACAGAAAACCAAGAAACGATCGAGAAGTTGGGGAAATTAAAGAAAGGGTGAGTCTAAGGCAGAGAAGTAAATGTCTATTTCCAGATCGCCAATACTGCAAAAAAGTAAATGATGATGCTGAATGTAAAAGTCGTCCGCATGTGTCACAGCTATCTGTGATAATTTAAAAAGTAGGAACAAAGTCCTAAAGGCGCTAGGAGGCAGAACTTGGGGCGCAAACAAGGAAACATAGTTTTATAACGCTATAGGTCGGTCTGTGATGGGATATGCGTACCCAGTGTGGTCTGCGAATATAAGAGCTACGCAGTGGAGAAATATCTAGATCTGTCAGAATGCAGCCCTGAGAACTGAAGCAGGGTGCCTCCTTATTATATCGGTGGACCATCCACATGAGAAGGCAAAGGTTCTCCCCGTACGTCAGCATAATAATATGCTTTTGTTCTAGTTCTAACACCTCCTTGGAGTTTGAAGCCATTCAAACCACGTTCAAAGCTATAGGAGATAGCCTGTAGATCAAGAAGCCTATCGGGCAGATGAGTGGCATTGGTACTGATGCATCTATAATATAAATGTCGTCGTCTGTGTCCACCACCATCCATTGCCTTGACAAAGCAGGGTAGTTTTGGCCCAACTACATTCCGGTTGTGCAGCCGTCTCAATCAGTATATGACACGATTTGATGGAGATGTGTCCAGTGTGCGATACAGGCCCGCAGAATACGGTGCCGATCTTCAATTGCCATCCCAAATATACCCGACTCACTTCTATAGATATTTGGCTGCAGTCAGCAAAGTTATCTGAATTCTTGGACTTGGAGTTGGAGCCAGGTTAGCAGAGAGGATGCAAAATATATCTCTGTTTCAACAACAACCACAATGTTCATGGACGATCTCCTTTTAGAACTTGGAGTTAGAAGCCGAACCAGATTACAGAAAATATAATCACAATGAACATAGCAGTACGGGTTGCTACAACAATAACAATCTTAATTAAAATGTTGATCTGGCAGTTCTAATACTGGCAAATAAACTGGGTTGGTCCCACTTCTTTAAGCAGCCAAGGTTGTTATAGATGATCGAAACGGCCTGAATTTTTTTTTTTTTTTTTGAAAGGAAAGGTTTAACCAATTACTCCTCCTAGCTTTAGATATAGTCCCCGTCCTTTATAATTAATAAACAAAAAACGTTGCAATTGTCGTATCACAGTATGTGTGAGGAATATTCACCGCTTGAAAATGTATCTGAATGTGCAGATTGATGGATAAAGAATCTCAAGCACTACTTACACCAAAATCTTAGGGTCATTGTCAAATATGTCTAGTCCGCAATATTGCAACAGTTCGAACTGGGGTACATCCAAGGGATACATACAAATTATTATATACTTCGTAGACCATTGCGGAGATGCTTGTCAGGAAGAATTCACTTGATCTATGAATTAAGTTCCAAATATATAAAACTTGAAGCTTTGAATATTATTGAAACTATTTTACAGATGTTATATCTCTTGTCAGATATTATTTGAAAAACTCAAAATATATTTTATTCACATGCTTCCCTTTTTTTCTTTGCAGCATTGAACAATATAC